ACCAGGTTCAACAATATGACACTGGGTCTATTTTTGAGCAACAGTTTATTTGGTTCATTAGATTCCACATATATGTTTTCTGAGCTAGAGCCAGCAGCCCTGGGAGTGCTTGCAGCCATAGCAGGGGCTCCCTATCTAGTACAGTCTGGTCTGTCAACCCCTGAGACTCCTGCAGGATCTGTCACACATACACACACACACACACACACACACACACCACACGTCCACATACTGCCCTTTCACTCCCTCACTCACTCTCACTCTGTCCCTCATTACCGTCCTGCCGGCCTCCATCTTGACTCCCTTTTGCAAATTTCTTTAATGTGTAGCCTAAGAAAAGGCAACTGGTTTCTCATATTTGTTTCTGATCTGTTATGTTGTGTTTTGGTTGAAATACATTAAAAAATTTAGTCTTATACAGATAATGTAGTCAAAACAGGGAGAAGTATTCTTTAAAAATCTTTATTGTTGAAAATAGTACATAGGTCCTCCTTTTTCCCCCATTAACCTCTTCCAGCCCGCTCCCATCCTCCTTCCTCCTCCCCCCAGGCCCTCAGCACCCCATTGTCTGTGTCCTCAGGTTATGCCTATATGCATACAAGCTCATTGGTTGATCTCTTCCCACCCACCCTCCCTTGCCTTCCCTACCAGGTTCAACAATATGACACTGGGTCTATTTTTGAGCAACAGTTTATTTGGTTCATTAGATTCCACATATGAGTGACATCATATGATACTTATCTTTCTTTGACTGACTTATTTCAGGGAAAAGTATTTTAGTACTCAGATAATTGTAGTTATTCTTTGATACCACATTAAAATCCTACAAGTAGTAGTTTCTTAAAGATTAGTTGCATTGTGGAATTTGAAATCATGTCTAAACTTTTTCATACTCAGCCTTTAAAATCCATTGGTCTGTTTTGCACTAGAATGGATTTTTTACCTGTACAAGATTTTGTAACTTATGCAGCTGTCATTTGGAAGACATTGGCTTACTGGTTATGTAGGTCTTCCAAATATTGACACATTTTATTAAGTCATACCCAAAAGTCATATTCATTAATATCACATCAGTCTCATTGCAAGGGGTTTTCAAGTTACTGTGAAGTTGTCAAGCTCATAGTTATGGATACAAGTTTTTAAAAAATTCTACTTGTTACTTGAAAGTTTGAATTTTATCATTAGTAATATATGGTCAGTTGTTTTTCTTGAGTCTGACATCCTTACTTTATTCACTTGTTCAGAAAATGTCCATGAAATAGCCACATCTGAATTTTTTGTCATTTTTTCATCTAAAAATAGTGTTCCATTTTTAAAAATTGCTAATTCACTCTTTTGATGACACTTTTAAAAAGTTATTAAAAAACACACTTATAAATGTAAAAAAACCAAAGAGAATGTAGCAAAATATTAACCATGATTATCTTAGAGTGGTGGGGAAATGGTAATTTTTTTCCTTTTACTTTTCTGTAATGAATAATACTTTTTTGTTATGCAGTATAGTTTAAAGTGTTAGGCAAAGTATGGTAATTATAAGAGTCAAATGAATGTGAATTATTAAGAATAGTTAGTTATGTTCTCTATTTTTCTTATTAGAATTTAGGTCCTGAATATGAAGATATGTTTAACATGTCATTACAGTGGATTTTTGAAAATGGAAAAGATGTTGGAATAAGGTAAAGGACTTAATTTCCACTTTGATCATTTTGTAGTATAAGAAGTGATTTTGCTTCTAAATTCTCCCTTTATTTTTAAATAGGTGTGTTGGCTATGGCCCTGACGAACAATTGACAAATGTAACTGATGTGCAGTTTTTACAGTCCACAAGACCACTAATGTCTTTTTGGTGTCGTTTTCGGCGCGCTTTTATTACTGTCACCCACAGGTTATTGTTGTTATGTTTAGGTAAGTTGTTAGGATGACAAAGAAGATACATTGTATTTTATAAATTTTGTGTCTGTATTTCACCACATGCTAGGATTGATAATTTATTTCATTATAAATCACATCCAAAACTCCTCTAAGATATAATAATATTGAGGTTTTTAAAAATAATGTCAGCAACAGTTTAGAAAACAGTAATCAGGTATAAGTGCATAGATGGAAATCTACTTTAAAATAGAACTGGAAAATATAAAAATTAAGGTTAGTTTTTAAAAATAAAATATAAATATTTAAAGTAAAATATTATAAATATGGCGAGGTATGTATGTTTATTAAAATTATTTTTTATTTTAAAAATATTACTTACCTGAATTAAAATTTTCATTTAGGTTCCTAGATTTTAATATGAGTATTTTGATTGAAAATAGGAATTTATGAGGTTATTTTTCTGTCCAAGTCCCTCAAGAATAAGTTAATTTACCTAAAAAGTAAGGAATAGCATGTTTAATCCCACTAGACTCACTTTTCTAGTTGTTTAAAGCTGCAAAGGAAAAAAGTGTGTGAAACAGTTTTTATTTTGTTTTCAAAAAATTAATAGCTAGAATTTAAATGTTGCACTTATTAACAAATTTTTAAAACATTGAAAAAAAACATAAAAATTAAAAAGAAAAGTTCAGTTGTCAACATAACAAAAGTGAGATTAAGTTAAACTCTGGATTATGTTTAATATTACAATTTTCTATGTAGTTTTAATTATGTAGCTAATTCAACCCACTCTCTTGAAGGCATATTCCATTATCCCATTATGGCAGTTAAAATAATCACTGTAGAAACTGTCATGAGTTTTCTTTTCTTGTTTTTCGCAATAAAGTTATTGAATGCCATTGACCACAAATTTTTAAAATGCAAAATATATGAATATTGCAGGTGTAGTGATGGTTTGTGTTGTTCTGCGTTACATGAAATATCGCTGGACAAAAGAGGAAGAGGAAACAAGACAGATGTATGATATGGTGATAAAGATTATAGGTATAGTATTTTTAGAAATCTAAACTATTGCCATGGTCAGTGGTTAGAGCATTGTCTCGGGCACCGAAGGGTTTCGGGTTTGATTCCCGGTCAAGGGCAATGGGTTGTGTGTTTGCTCCCTCCCCACCCCCTGTTGGGGCATGTGCAGGAAGCAACCAGTTCATGTGTCTCTCTTACATCGATTTCTCTCTTTCTCTCTCTCTCTCCCTTTTTCCTCCTACCCCCTTCTCTTCCCTTCCCCCTCCCTCCCTTCCTTCCACTCTGAAAAGCAATGGAAAAATATCCTCAGGTGAGGATTAACAAAAAATTACAAATAAAAAAAAAATCTAAACTATTTCTAGAATAGTCATTACGTGATAAACTATAACATGATAACCAGTGATTGATTCATTTGTAAATGTGTTGATTTATTTTCAGATGTTTTACGAAGTCATAATGAAGCTTGCCAGGAAAACAAAGATTTACAACCTTTCATGCCTATTCCACATGTTCGAGATTCCTTAATACTGCCTCATGACAGGTGTGTTCAAAGCATTATGAGTTAAAGTAAATAAGAATGTTGGTATTTTCTGTAGTTTGAAAAATTATTGCGAGTTATGACCCTTCTCAGCTAAACCTGTTTTACTGTGTAGGCTTTATTTTTGTACTTAAAACTCCTCTTTCTAAGTTTTCTTCTGTTACCTTCCTGATTTTGAGTGGCAAAATAAACAATTAGGTTTCTAAATCATTCTCATTCTGTTACATCTGATTCTTTTTTGTCAATTTCTACCTTATTTCCTTTACTTTCATCTTGATAAAGAAACAGAGATAGTATCCAATGAAGTTTTATTAGTTATATTTTTAAATACTTAATCTTGTTAACAAAGCTTTTAAAATAAGAGAACCAATAACTTCTTGAAAATAATTATGATGCCATATGCTAAAGCAGCTTTCTTAACCCTAGTAACACATTAAGGTCCAGTGGAAGTTTTAGGGAGGAAAACATACTGATGCTTATGGTCTACCTCTAGAGTTTGAAATTCAGTAAATCTGAGGTGAGTGAAGTTTAGGCATCTAAATCTTTTTTGCAAAACACCTTAAGAACAGCCAGAATTAACAATAACACTACCTTCAGTTATTAATATTTGAAAAAATAAGCCAAGATGATAATCATTTTGTTGATATAATAGGAAAAGAATGAAGAAAGTCTGGGATAGAGCCGTTGACTTCCTTGCTGCTAACGAGTCTAGAGTTCGTACAGAAACACGAAGAATAGGTGGTGCAGATTTTCTAGTTTGGCGGTGGATCCAGCCTTCTGCATCCTGTGACAAAATATTAGTAATACCTTCAAAAGTATGGCAAGGTCAAGGTATGTATTTTTAAACAACAAAAAATACAAGCATAAATTTGTTTTGTTATTTCCAATTACAACTCTTATGTTATTTAAAATAGTACAATTGAGCAAGGTAAGAAAGCAAAGCTCCCCTTCCAGTTTCATCCCATAGAAGGAATTAGTGTTAGCTCCTTATATGTCCTTCCACTTTCTCTTGGCTTTTAAAAACTTAAATGATTTGTCTTTTCTGTAATAGAATACTATACACATTAATTTTTTTCCTTTTTCACTTAACAAAGTAACTTAGTTATTAAAGATTTAATTGCATTTTCCTCTAATTTTTTATGCAGATAAGACACATATGCTTTATATATGTATATATGTTTTACATATATAATGCTGTATATATAAGACATAATTAAATGGAATCATAAGTTTTTAATTGCTCCTTTTTCCAGTTTTTACTTGCCTGCATATCCCCCATGCCAAGTAGCTTTTCTGAGCATCTCTCTATATTTTTTTTAATGCTTGCATAGTTAACAAAAGCACGTATATGTAAGTATATAGGAGGGTTTGGTGATTGGTTGTCTTATATAACCAAACCTCTACTAGTGGTAGCTGTTACCTCACTTGAATTTTTTGTATCTTAATGGTTAGTGAAAAAATTATATCTTATGGTTAGTTTAATTTGCATTTCAGGACGAGTAGTGAGTTGAGTTTCTTTTAACCTTGTTGGATAAAAGCACATTTATCAGTGTTTGCTAAGCATAGCTTTTATGGGAAAGATCAGTAAATTATTTTGAAATTACAATAAGATCTCATTTTTTCTAATTTTCACTGTTAAAAGAGTTTGAATAATAAGCTTAATATAATCATGGCATAAATATGAAGCTTTGACTTTGCAAAAGATGGCACTAAACAATAAACTATTAGGGGTTTTTTGGTTTGGTTTTGTTTTCTTAAAATATATTTTTATTGATTTCAGAGAGGAAGGGAGAGGAAGAGAGAGAGAGAAACATCAATGATGAGAGAGAATCATTGATTGGCTGCCTCCTTCACGCCCCCTACTGGGAATCAAGCCCACAACCTGGGCATGTGCCCTGACTGGGAATTGAACGAGCAACCTCT